GCTTTCCAGAATAATAATGAGGGCATGAGACTTCCTGGTTCAGCCAAGACAGTGCTGTACAATCCATTAGCCCCAAATATTCCTTAATTTATATTCTAGAAATCCGGAGTGTGCGATAGACTTACCTCCAAGTGGTGCATCCGTCGCAACGTATACTCATACGGAAATAGGTCTATTAACTGGCCGTTGACTTCTGACTTCAAAATACCATCACCCCACTGTATGTCATATTCGACTACTTCCACAGTATTCACCTCAACTTTTTCCTACCTTTGTGTCTGTCTCATTTACATCTTTGAAACACTCTTCCCCCCCCCCTCTCGACTTTTTCACTTTGATGTTTCTTCCCCTCTGTAAAGCCTGAAGTTAACTAAAGGGCAAATGTTAACTATCAAAACGCCTGCATTTGTAATAAATTAAAATATTCTAGAAATCCTTATTTATGAAATCATCTTATCAAACAAGAGGTATGAAACTTTATTATTTAAATCAATTAAAACATATGAATCTGTTTTAATAATTATGATTTTTAATATTATAATTGAGTATGTTGCCCACATATTTAATTTGTCCTTTTATCTTATTGGGTAAATAAGAGTCTGTGCATTTTGTCTATCTTTAATCAGTAGTGACTAAGAGATGGTAAGTATGAATTTTCTCTAAAATATATGGACTTAAGGGGCAAAAACCGTCCAGAGAAGATGGTGCAAAAAAGGATGGAAAGGTATGTATTTTTTTCTGGATTATTCTTCGTATTCTAGGGAAAGAAAAGGGAATTTGAACCACCAATTCCGACCAGGATGGGAAAGCATAAGAGATCCAAAGGACCTGATACCGCTAACAAACTTCCTCAAGTTACGCCGCATACACGTTGCAAACTTCGCTTGTTGAAGCTTGAACGGATAAAAGACTATCTCTTAATGGAAGAGGAATTTATTAAAAACCAGGAACGTCTCAAAACAGACGAAGAAAAGAATGAAGAGGAAAGATCAAAGGTTGATGACCTTCGTGGTACTCCAATGTCAGTCGGTACTCTTGAGGAGATAATTGACGACAATCATGTCATTGTGTCTACTTCAGTTGGCAGCGAACACTATGTCAGTATTCTCTCATTTGTTGACAAGGGCATGCTGGAACCTGGCTGTTCTGTTCTCCTTAATCATAAAGTTCATGCTGTTGTTGGTGTTTTAACTGATGATACAGATCCTATGGTGACTGTTATGAAACTCGAGAAAGCCCCACAAGAAACTTACGCTGATATCGGCGGTCTTGACGCTCAAATCCAAGAAATTAAGGAATCAGTGGAATTGCCTCTAACCCATTCCGAACTCTACGAAGAAATGGGTATTAAACCTCCTAAAGGTGTTATACTTTACGGCCCCCCTGGGACAGGTATATTTCAAAAATCTTTATAGCTCTTTATTTTATACTGCTTAGTTTCACATGTTTACATTTATGCTTAAGGCAAAACACTCTTGGCTAAGGCCGTTGCTAATCAGACCTCGGCAACTTTTCTTCGTGTTGTCGGTTCTGAATTGATTCAGAAATACCTTGGTGATGGACCTAAACTGGTTCGAGAACTTTTCCGTCTAGCCGAAGAAAATGCTCCCAGTATAGTTTTTATTGATGAAATTGATGCCGTCGGTACAAAGCGCTATGACTCAAACTCTGGTGGTGAAAGGGAAATTCAACGAACTATGCTGGAATTGTTGAATCAGCTTGACGGTTTTGATTCCCGCGGTGACGTTAAAGTTATCATGGCTACAAATAGAATTGAAACCCTCGACCCCGCTCTGATTAGACCTGGTAGAATTGATCGTAAGATCGAATTCCCCCTACCGGATGAGAAGACTAAGCGTCGCATCTTCACAATTCACACCAGTCGTATGACTCTAGCTGAGGATGTAAATTTGGAGAATTATGTCACTTCTAGGGATGAGCTTTCCGGTGCTGACATTAAAGTGAGCTCCTTTGCCTAACAGTTTACCATTTTTATATTTTGGTTAATGTCATTACGCGATACTGTCATTTCAGGCTATGTGTACTGAGGCTGGTTTATTGGCTTTGCGTGAACGTCGGATGAAAGTGACAAATGAGGACTTTGAAAAGGCTAAAGAAAATGTCTTGTATCGCAAGAATGAGGGTACTCCTGAGGGTCTCTATCTGTAATTCGAAATCCTTTTTTGAACGCGACTCCTTACTTCCCAAAAATCCTTATCTTTGTGTTCTTTATTACGGCATTTTTGTTTGGTACTACATTTTAGATCGTCCTTTTGTTGAGTTCTACTTGAGTAATCTGAGTAGATTCTCATTTAAACTTTACCGTTTGAGTTAAGGTTATCCAGATCAGTATAGATAGTTTCGGGTGAAATATCTAAGACTTTTGGATGAAACATTCTTATTTTCAGACAGTATAGAAGTTATGAAAGTTATCTCTAAAATTTCAATTCAATGGTTTTTTCGACATCATAGTTTGTATTTGTTGAGTTTGCAGAGTTTTGGGTGTAGATTTTTTAAGTGTCAAGTTTAACGTATTATTTTAGGACTCAAAGCTCTCCACGTTTGATGTGCTCTATACAAATATCGATCTGTGGTTCCGGGATTGAAATCTTATTTTTTGTTAATTTTGACAATCCATTTATGAAGCTGTACTTAAATGGTTTAAGCAGCAATAGTTATCTGTTTATTAATAGTTTCATATGGCAGGAAGATAAAATGATAAGCCGGAAAGTGGGCAATATTTTGTAAGATCTTCTAACGTCTCACATATTGGAAGAAATATAAAAGTCAATGAGTATTGGACATCGTTGACAAGCATGCAATGCTATCCAATGGGTGATAATTGAATTTTGGGAGTGAATTATACCACATAGTAATTAGAATACAATTAGAGTCCAGAAATCAAATGTAAGACACTTGTTTATCCCGGAGTTGCTTTCGATGCCAGTCGTTCCCCACACTTATAGATTATGACATTCTGTTTCACTTCGTGTATCCATAACAATGATTTAAATAGTTTCATTGTGAGATCATATTATTTGATTAATTAGCTGAGCCAATTTCTACAACTGAATACCATTAAATCTGTAGAAGCATACATGCGTAAAAGTGTTCAGATCTCATGGTTACTATGAGATCGTGGATAGGTTAAGCTTCTCGGAATTGACTCACACTATGTTTGTATAAAAAATAAAATTTATTATTCAAAATGTGCTAGTTTTTAAAGTAGGAAGTATACAGAAGTGGGTCAAATCGAAATGCCTAAATTATAGTATTAAGACAGCGATATTAAATAATATTTCAATAAGTCACATGCAATGCACATGGGCAACTGGATAAGGAGTTAATGTGGGAAGATGGTTCTTTCTCCGGTCATTTCACAGTTGGTTGAAATTCCAACAGCTTGTTCACAAGTGTTAATTGGTCAGAATCACTTGCTCTTGGTTAACCAGCCATCACCGAAATGGGGTGTGAGAGGGACTTAAAACTGAAATAGCCAACAACGCATGAATCAGTCAGTTCCGCTATGTCGATCAACTTGGACTGTTGTACTTTAATTTGAATGATTTTTCGGGAAAAGGGGCTTACTACTTCGCTAGGCAGTAGCTAACCAACTCGCTGGGTTCGGTTTCAATCCATGAATCAACTCTCGGCTGGAAAAGAAAAATTTATATTTTGGTTGATTTACGAAAATCAGTACGTACTGTAACTATAACCTAAATATGTACATGTAATCATTTTAATGAATTTAGCTTGCTTAAATTAAGTCGATGTAAGGACAAATGAAACTAAATTACTAGAGATACCAACCGCAAATGGCACATTCTGGAAACAGATTTTTGTTTTCAGCTTACGTTTAGACACGCCGAAGAAAGTAACCCTGCAAGTTTATTTCTCAGTTCAAGATTATTCATGAGCGATAAGTTTAATTTGAGTGTTGAGACCTACGTACATCTTTGTTGTCAAGACAACAACGAATACCAAAATGGCACTGAGGACGAAAAGGGGAATGCCTATGGAAATGTAAGCAATGACTGCCTAGAAGCTGAACTCCCTTCCGTCTCCTTAAGCAAGCCAGAGTTAACCATCCTGAAACGCCTTCTGTGCATTTAATTAGCTTTTCAACTTAGCATTCTCCCTTGCCATAAAAATAGGCAAGAATAACCTTCAAAAAAGGGGGGCTCTACCACATCTTGACCCATCCATGATCACCTTTTCAGGTGAATAGAGCATTCTCTAAGAGGAAAGTGATTTCGAAATACGACTAAAATCGAAAACTACTTAAACGTGTGTTTTGTTTCAATAAAGTGCCTATCACCCTATCAGTATCGTAACGTACACCGCTCCTGACAGGTTGTCAGTCAAAGGCCAAAGTTGCCATTGACAGGCCAAATTTTCATGACATTGATAATATGAAGGTAAGATGTGCTCATATGTATTGTCTCTAGTGCATAAACGAAATGCTTCTGCCTTTACTCTCTACTGTATCTTCTACTCTCCAGCCTGCCATACGTCGTAGCAGTAGAAAATGGAGATCCCAGCTTCACAGCAAGTGTTATTTTACAAAAAAATCATGCAAATCTGAGACTATGTGTCAAGGGAATGCTAGCAATAGTTTTGACAGTCAGTTCATAAGAACTGGAATAGAAATGCCGCTTCTACGTTATTGAATTGTGGCACAATCTCGTCGAACATTGAGCCAAACAAAGTAATAATTAACAGGTGCACCTAAAGGTCAGACACGTGTCGTTGTCATGCCTTATAGACGCCTTAGATAACTTCACAATTCGCCAAATTTTCCATCAGAATCTGGGCCTATGCAGGCGCATCTACCAATTAAGCATTCACTTTCATATTACCCAATCAAATTTGCAATTTACATGTGAAGGCTGATGCTTGGTTTCTCAGACGCCAATGATGGAACACTGTGTTCTCATTTTGAGCAGGTTATATAGATGGTATTTTAGTTTTGTGTGGTGCCGTAGGGTGGAGTATCCCATAACAACCAAAATTTTGAATTTAGTTTATCTCAATTTTTTACTACCAACACAAGGTAAGTTCATCCAATCTCAATGAAATTAACCTTTATAATAATATCATTTTTCTGATATTACAAATTAAAATTATTGATTATCTATGCCTTATCTTAGTTTTAATGATTAAGTATTTCTACAAGTATCTTCTATTGAAATAAAATATTTCAGTTAGGCGAAAACGTTTATTAAATTCCCTTTAAAACGTTTATGCTCTGTTACCACTTACTGAAATGGTTCTGGATTTGCGTCAGATTAACCTAAGCTAATAAGTGCTTGTGGGTTTCTCTACTCAGTAATACTCTTAGAAAAGATAAACAGTATTAATTTAAAGAGTCTACAAAGTCTAAACGATTGAGAAGTTTAATATGGAAATAACAAAAAGGCCACTCTTTATTGTGATGATAAGATTATTATTCGTACATTTATTTCAAAACATAGGGTTTTAGTCGAGTTTTGAAGTATAAAGAGAACTTACCAAACCCATTATGAACAGTGCTGAAATCGCTAACATGACTAGGAGGAAGGAAGGGGAGCTCTATAAGGACAATTAGCACCGCTCATATTTACCAGAATTAACAAGTTTAATTCACCATCCACATCACCAAATTTCGAGTCATTCGAAACTCCATTTAAAAGATCCAGTTCTTTATTGTCTTTGTGTGGATTTGGTCATATGCTCTTTTAGTGCTCCATCACTCCCTTTGAATTCGAACTACTGATCTCTGAATTCCAAAGATTATTCAATAATTTGGCATTTGGCTGAATATTTAACAAATTTGAAACTATATAGTGAGTCGCTTTTCGGCATTCGAGCAATAAATGTAATAGTTGATATAACATTTGAAATTTAATCTCATAACCAAAATCCCATGTTTGCCCACTCTCATTTCGTGTTGATTTCAGCATTGAAGAGGATAGTCATTAAATTTAAAATGATAATAAGGAGCTTTTTTATTCACCCTTCAACTCAGACTGAGTTCTTTTTAAAGATTGGTGGTTTAATTGGTTACCCAAGAATTTAGAAAGTTACTTCGATGCTACTTTTATATTCCATGTTTCCATTAACCAATTCTTAATACCTTTTACATCAGAAATACGATCGCTTATATGATCTGCTTCTTGCTAAAACTTCGTCCATTTATCATGTCGCTCGACAATTTCCAGAAAACTAGGAGATTCGTACCACTGATATTGCTTTTCAATTAATTTGGTTTCTGAGGGGTCTAATAGGGTTCGTAGCTCACATATATCATATCTACATATTTTAAAGCGAGCCATAGACTGACCCTCAAAAGAGTGCGACTGTAGACAACCACTCTAAGCGCATTAAGGAATCGTTGCTCAAATACATTTTAGCAAAGTGCACCATATAGATAAGAGGAGTAAACATAAGAAAGGCATAAAGATTTATGATTCAAGAAAGAAGGAAAAAAAGGGCAAAGACCACAGAAAACAGATGTGAAAAGATGGCAGTCCACTTGTTTCTAGCCACGAAACCTCCACCAGGAACGCTGGCGACCGATGACTACAATACCTGATCTAACTGGTAGTCGTGATGACCTCGAAGTAGGTATTCTCCACCGGTCCACTCTGCATGCAGGGGTGGGCTTTAATTTGGTCTAGTAAGGTTACTATCCGACTTCTAACACATGTAGGACTTATACGACCTTTATCTTGGCATAAAACGCAATATCACTTCCACGCAAGCATTTTAGACTTGAATCAGTTCTCCTTCATACAACTCTCCCCACCCACCTCTCTGTTCTTTCACCACTTACTTCATCTTTGTGTCTGTCCTGCTGATAAAAGTTTTCGTTTTTATTTAACAATTACGATTATTAACTTTTTGATTGGATATTTCCATAAGAAGATAAAATCTTAAGAGGGGTTTTTACGAATCTTTTAGATAACTAGCTTCGAAATTTAATAACTTTAATATATTAAGCCAATGTGAGGTTGAAAGACCAGATTTAAAATCAATATTTCTTCCAAAAAATATATCCCATACAATCCTGCTTTTATTCAATGTTTATTATTGTGTGGTCGAAACAGGCAGTAAAATTCGATTGCTGTGAATGATTTCAGAAGTCTTTAGGATTAGGTCGAGGTATGAATCCCAACTTGCTATGTTCT